TAATATAATAGAATATTACTTTTTGTGAAACCTTTGCCCTGGGGCTTTTTAATCTGGCGGTGAATTAGATAATGATTCAGAATAATTTGTACGCAATAAAGCCAACAGTGAAAGCAATGATTATCTTGGAGCAGCCGACAAAATATTACAGTAATACCTCGGTTTAAGCTGTGTTGAGTTGGGTCATTTTCGAGGATATGTCAGTTTTTCTAAAATATTATATGGAAAAAATAAAATTCACCTGAGGTCGTTTCACTCAAGTTTATGTCAGCCATTAGAAATATTAAAAAAGGTAAAACACTAAAATAACAAGAAACATAAAATCATACTGAAATAAAGTTAAATATTATTTTATTTTATATTTATATATATATATATATATATATATATATATATATATATATAAAATCATCAAAAACAAAAAAGTATTATTTTCAACAGATGTTCTTATTTCAAATTCCTGCCGACAGGCAGCATTCGTGAGCTGTTTTCTGCTCCAACACCGATTTTGAATTCAGACTTGTTTACATCGGTGTTCTGCTGTTGACGTTCTTTCAATTACAATTCGATTGTCATTTAAAAAACTTTTTTGCCTATGGCTTTGAAGAAAAGTCCCAGGGCAAATGCTACTGCTAAATGTAAGGCTATATCATTGGAAGATAAAGTGGAAATTAATCATTTTATTCAGAATACTGTGTGTACATATCATAAATACTGTAATAGGCAATGGGGTTGTGACCTCTGGAACAAATTACTGACATAGAGTGAGGTATACCTGTACATGAATAAGATTTAAAACAAGGTAAAAATAACACAATTTACTTTGTAATTAAAGTTTAAATTAATAGTCTTTGTTCTTATATTATCTGCTTGTTTTGACTTTGACACTCTTTGCCTGACTTTCTCAGCAATCAATTAACTGGAAATAACAAAGAAACTGGGAAAGGTTCTGTCAAGACCACCCAGGCAGAGAAGGTGAAGAAATCCCCTATGTAATGAAGATGACAGAGGGTTATTACTACCAGCACCTATGGCTGGGATAATAGAGAATTGGGAACCCAGGAGAAAAAAGGCCAAGGTGTTCTCATTGCTGACACAAGAAAGAGAATTATCTTGTAAGGTGAAAATAGGAGGAATAGCAATGAAAGTTCTAATAGACACAGGAGCATCTTTTTTATTGCTAAGAGAAAGAGAATACAGGCGGTTAAAACAGAAGGAATGGATATGAGAAGCAGATATAGAGATCACACAAGCGGATGGTGGCCCCCTGGAGATAAAAGGGATGGTGAAGCTTCCTGTAAGAATAGGAAAATTAAGAGGTATCCAGAATTTCTATATAACACCCAATCTGCGTATGGAAGCAAACTTAGGAGAAGATCAGCTTCAGAGCCAGAAGGCTCATATAGAGTTTAACTCCAAAATGGTGAGAGACGCCATTGGGAGGTCCACCAGAAGAAATCATAATGGTAGTGGTGGAGGAAGATATAAAGATACCTCCTACAACAGCAGAGTCAGGTAAGGGTAGACTGGTGACAGGGAAGAAAATGAGGAAAGGAAGCCTGCAATTGGTCCCTGTGGAGGAGAAGGGCCCAAAAGAGAATGACCAGACCCAGACAGAATTAAAGAGGAGATTGCAGAGAAGCTGAAATGGAACCGACATGTACAGTGGAAAAACCTCCTGTTGCACAGGATCTTGCATACAAATAGATCTTTCCACCACATCCTACAGATGTTCAGTTGGGATCATGCTGGATGAATATAGTGGTTACATCATTTATTAGAAGTCTCCACAAACCAATTCTGGGTAATTTGTGCCTGATTACACAGTTGTAGGTAAATGGATCATTTGTTCATGCTTAGGATATTGCTGCCACATATGGTCTGGTAATCCTGCTACATATTTAGAGATCTTTTATTATTCTTGCTTCTTAATATTTTCTTATATTCTTTCACACTCAGTGGATTAGTGGCTTTGTTGCCTTGAAATGGTTTAAAAAAAAAATGGGCATGAAGCAATCCCCAATCAATGATAAGTTTCAATGGACTAACAGACATAACCCATGATATGTAAACCCACCCTACATACATTATGAGACCACCAACAACCTGCAAGCTGCCATGTTGATAAATGGGGTCAATGACTTCATGCTGTTCACACCACACCCAAACCCTACCAACAACATGAAACAGCTAGAACCATGACTTACCAGACCACACCACTTGTTGCCAGTCTTATAAGATACAATTAACTATGAGGTGTTGTGTCTGATACTGTAGTATTAACTGGATCATCCTGGTCGGTCTTCTGTTCTCATATCCCAGAATGCTGAACTGACCTGCTAGATATATGCTTGGTACCTCCTTCATTGAATGTGATCTAAGCCAGTGTTGCTTGTCTGTAACTGTAGACAATTCTAGACAGATACCTCCAGTTAAAATCATTAATGACCACTGTACTAGGTAGGGTAGTAATATTTTCCATCAGATATTCTAAGTATATACGTGATACTATAAATCAAGGGATGTCAAATATTCCACCTATCTGGCATGTACTATCATGCTCTGTTCAAACTCTGATAATTTATATTACCTTGCTATGAGAAACCTAGTTGGTGTTCCCACTGACACATAAGGTGTTAGAGCACAACTGATACAGGTTTGGGCATTTTCATGTTAAGGTATGATAGCACTACTTAGTATATGACCATGACTTGTGGCATATCAGAATACAGCAGAGCAGAAAAAAATGGACAAAAAATGCAACTAAGACAGCAAAAAAAGTCCTTTTAATAATAATGCTGAAAAACAAGGTAGATTTTCAAATACTTCAACTGCACATATAAAACCCAACAGATGTATTTGAGTCGATTTTTTTTGGCAAAAAAAGCCGGTCTTATATGCCATTGATTTTGGTAAGAACATTGCAATCTTAATTCTAGTAAAAGGTTAAATATCTTCTTTTGATGCTTTCTAACTGAAAACATTCAATAGTACTTAATAAAGTCAATTGAAAAGAACATTTCTTCTACTGAACTGAATTTATTAAATAATGTTGAATGTTATTCAAACAAGTCATCATTTAACAACTTCTTAAAAAAACATTTGTCATATATATATATATATATATATATATATATAAAACAGAGGATGTCTGTGTGATACATTTTCACTCAAGATCCATCCAATTGATTTTGACCACACTTGGCACATACATTGTAAAATGTAAGAGATAAGTTCTTAGTGTAAAAAAATCGATAATTTTTAAAAAAATCAATAATTGATAAAGCCGATCAAAAATTGATAAATTCAACCTTTTTCCTCCGATCTCGTTCAAACTTGGTATGTAGGTTACTTAGATCATGATGAGCTCAATGATACCTCATTTTTATTTCTACACCCCTGCGTTTAGTGGAAAACCACAAAAAACAAAAAATCAATTTCAACACAAATTTTAATCTAAAAACTCCCTAAATTTTCAAGCAATCAAATACAAACTTCACTCAATTGTAGCCAACAATAAGTTGATTGTTTAAAAGTCATTTAACTTGATAACTGAGTCCACCCATATAGTGAAAACCCATGTAAATAGCAATTTTTACTGGTTTCTTTCTTAATTTCATTGATATTTCAACCAATTTTTGTCAAACTTGACAATTGCTTTATAAATATATCCTCTTTTACATCCCTGGAGCACACTGACAAATTAAATTTCAAAAACTCCAAAATAATTGTGATCTGAAGTGGGTTTTCATGTTACAGTGTAACCCGGATATAAGAGAGTTGTCGGGACCGGAGAAGAAGTCTCTTACATCCGGGTTTCTCTTATATCCGGGTTTGGTCTATTTTGTTTACATTAACACAGGCTCTAATTTGGGACTAGAGAAAATCTCTCTTATATCCGGGTTTCTCTTATATCCGGGTTACACTGTAACTGTTTTTATCCCTTCATGTCCTTGGCTAACTTTGATTGAATAAATACAGACTACTTCTGTTATATCAGTAACTGCATTAATTCAAATTATTTTTTAATGAAGGTACTTTAAAGTAATTGAAGAAGATAGACTATTACATCTAAACATGATGCTGTTTTTCCCAATTCTAATTGAACGCTTTTTCTGATCGACCAGCTGAGTATAGCTGCCAGTAGTAAATATTTGAATTTTCTTTTGAGTTTGGCTAATTTGTAACACCATGACTGTTCTGTTATCTCAAAAGGCTGATAAGATAGTTTTACTTGAGTTAAAAGAAAGAGGCATATGCTTATGTTACATGACTAATAGGTGATCACTGCAGGAGCTACTCAACTCCTTTTACTATGCTTCATCTTTATACAAGTTAGATCAGAGAAAAAAATTAAGTATTGCCAACATATCTGAGCTGAAGTTTTTCACTCCTCACTAACCAGCATTGAGTTCAAAATCATTTATGTGTTCTAGTGTGGGAAGACTTATTTTCCACTCTGCAACTTTTTTCCCCTACATACCATGCCACTTCCACAATGTCAAATCACCCTCATTTCCCCAGCATTCCAAATGTAAGGAGAATGTTTCCCTCAGACAGCTTTTTCCTCAAGAACTGCTATTTTGTGGAAGAGACTCCAATGTGGATGCTTCCCTGAACACTACAATTTTAACCTCTTCAAATTTATGAGGATAAGGAGGATAGATAGTGAGTGATCTTTATCAGTTGTTAACTAACCTCCTCATCTTCATAAATCTTCACTCCCACTTTCATTTATATCACACACCTCATTCATCATTCCCATTTTAACAGTAACCTTCTACCTTGAATGATTCTAAAGCCCTGTACTGGGTAAACTTTAGTACATAGAAAAGATGTTTCACTTCATTCCCTAAACACACATTAGTAGATCTATATTCTCTAGAGGTGGTCATTAAAAGCATTCTTTACATGATATAATCAATCAAATAACCAATGATATTCTTTGTTAGTCACATCTGCTAGTTTAAATACAGGAAACAAAGTTATGTTGCAAAATATCATTTGCTAGGTTTTGTTTGTATATGGTAATAATTTTGATCTTCAATTGAGATTGTAGCAGGAGCTTTGCTCATTGGATCTTTTCCATCATGTGACTTTGGAAATGCAATGACATCACGAATACTGGGCTCATGACAAATGATAGCTAGCAGACGGTCAAGTCCTAAAAAACAAAAAAAAAAATCATTGAATAAGTAAAGCAATTTTTTCAAAATATTTTGGTACATTGTAACAAAAATATTTTTTAAAGAAATGTGCAGTGTAAAATGAAGCTTTAAGAAATTCAAAACCATAAAATTATCTTCAGAAAATTGTTGCTAGAAACATAATTCATATCTTAAATAAATTGAACTGATTAATATTTATACTCTTTTATTCTCTCTAATGTTTGTTTGTATCTTTTGTTCCATTTTATTCTATTTACATCTAGACACTTCTTTAAACATGCAAGGGAAATTACTTTACCTTAGAGGATGAGAATTATTGGATGACTGACAAAATCAATGACACACTTTGTCAAATATTGATTACAAACATAACTTTTAGAGTTACTTTCATTCTTTACACAGTAAATATCAAGTGTGAAAATCAATACTGATTTTTTTCGATCAAGTATCAATTGCTTATATATTTCAGTTACAATTAACATTATGCAATGGTTAGTGAATTTCTCTTACAAGCTGTAGAAAAATTTCATCTTCATTGAATGCTTAAGAACTATGTCCTTGTACCATACTATGCTTTGTGTTTACAAAAACATGTCCACAAATTCTTTTTTTATTATTATTCACCTTTTAGGCATTTATAAAGGATGATAAAAAATACATTTCAGAATTTTTAGACAGCTTTATACATAATTTCTGCTGGTATATCCTCCTTACCTGAGAAAGATTATTCATAATTTGGAAAAGTCAATGATTAAAATACTTGTCTTTAATAATATTTGCCTTCAAGAACATTTGCTGTCTAAATATACTGGATGTAACAGCAAAATTGTCCAATTGTTAGATTAAGCGCTGAACCGTTGTATCTTAGAAATGATTAAAGATTTCTTACTGGAATTCTCCAAGGTTTCTATAACACTACTGGACTCTACTTTGAGTAATGAGAATGTATAATTACTCTCCAAGCTTAACAGAAGAATTGTGATGAAATCTATATATATATATATATATATATATATATATATATATATATATTTCATCACAATTCTAAAACCAGTTTTTTTTTTCCAAGTTTTCAGATAAGATGTTTAGCCATCTTGACACCATTTGTCAATAGAATCAAAACTTTTTGAGTTATTCAGCTAAAAATAGAGCAGGTTAAAATTGTTTTATGTCAGACCCACTATGTCTTCCTAACTGAGCACTGGTGAGAGGAAAAAGATCATTTAGGCCTTCAATAATGGTACCAACATTCATATTCTGGCTTCCCTCTTCAAAGTCCATTTAAGAATCATCAAGAGAATAGTGAATATGTTTAAAAAGAAGGAACAGTAGAGAGGAAAACTGGATCAGGAAGTCACAACAGGAAGAGGAATCACTAAGAGCTAAAGAGATCAATTAAAAAAGATCCAACTCAATTCATAAAACGTTTGGCACGTGAGAGAGGAGTTTCAGCTATGATAGTTCAAAGAGCAGTGAAAAAAGACTTGAAAATGAAATCATATGTGAAACCTGTGAGATACCTTGTTACTCCAGGAGAGAAAGTTAGAAGTTTAGAGAGGGTGAATATCATCTTGAATAAATTGGAAAATGATCCTGGAATATATATATATGACAACATGACTTCATGCAGACTTGCTATCTTCAGGTGCTGGATACAGTCTGATTATAGGATAATGAGATTCACCTTCTTGTGGTGATGACTTAAAATTGTGTGCTAAGACTTGTTTATTCAATTATTGTTGCCTAAAATATTATAATTAATTATTTATAATTTATATTTTTCTAATTCTTAAGTTCGAAAGACAAAGAATTAAAAAGAAAATGAAATTATTTTAAATGAAAAATTTGAAATTAGAAATTAAGTAAACATGTTATATATCAAGGGGGATAACTTTCTTTTTTGCATAAAATACCATTGTTATAACATTTAAAGTATTGTCTAATGGAATAAACTTAGTAATCACGATGTTAATATAATAATAGGTTAAGACTATATATTTAATGTGTTTGGAACCTAGCTTTATACTTACAAAGGTGAAATTACCTATACACACGTTATATTAGTTGAGTACGGTAATATGGAATTATAAATAGAGCCGAGTTCGAATTCCAGTCAAATCCATTACATTCACTTACATGCTAATACCCTTGGGAAAGGTATAAATCCTCTTCTTCTCACAACTGTGGGTAAAGAGCAGGAGAAACCAGGTTCTATAGCCTTGGGTGGCAAATGTTCTACCGCGGGGAAAAAAATCTGCCTCCTCAGTCATGTATTGAAAGATACATGATCGCCTAAGCATGTATCACACATGGCACATAACACTGACTGATAGATATATAAAAAATGTTATTAATGATGGGTTCTCTGAATATTAATAGGTGTTACATATTATATTAATATTCTTAAAATCTATTTTGTGGTCAATGTTTATTTGATAGTGTTTGTGAACTAAATTTAGGAAACTTCTATCTATGTTAGTTTTGAAATTACTATTGTAAGATGGGTTGAACCATATTATGTTACATTTGCATTGGTTTAGCCTACTTCTATTTTTAATGTTTTTTCTTTCTATATACTCTAATTTCACTTTATGGTTGCTGTGTTCTAGTATATCTAGTTTTATTATTGTCAAATATTTCTTTGTTACCCGTCAATCATTTTCAACGAAACTTATATATATAAAATGAAATGGATTAAGTCTGATTTAATATATTTTCTGTTAATAAGTTATTTTTATAGATACAGTTTATATTTAAGTAAATGCTCTGTTTTTTAATTAAACAGTATTAATTATATTTACCAGTCTGAATGTTCAAGAAATTTTGTAGAAAATATGTGTTCTTGTAGTTGTTAAATTTAGTACAAGTTAGATTATCGACCAATTCCATTTTGCTTTTACAAATGACCAAGATTTGGATTTGATATCCGAAATGGTGCAAACTGAAGAAACAATTGCCATTAATTTATATGGAAAAGTCTTTTTTAAAACCATTCCTAATCTCCAAAATTTACCTTTTTCAATGTCAGTTTGATGGTAAAGTTTGATTATTTTCTGTGGCAGATATGGAATGCTTGAAATACAACAATATGCTTGACTGTTTAACTTCACACATTCTTCTGCATGCAAAACAGCCTGCAAACCTGCTCTAAATGTACATACCATTTTCATATTAAAATTTTAGTTATCTGCTTTCATTGCAGCACTGTCAATTGAAATGAAAGATTATTTTGGGTGGTTTGAGAAGGGTAAAACATTTCTTCAATTTCTCTATCTCTTTATTTCTTCCTTTTATATCATTTCAACTTATTAAGGGTTTCTTACGAATGCTCAACATTTGGAGAGATGTCGATAAAACTTGTATATATTATGAGTCTAGTATAACATTATGATTTGAATCATAGCTTAATGTCATTATACATGTGTGCAGTGTGAGAGAATTTATTTTCATGCTCTTATTATAAATAGGTCTCATAATGATTGCCAACATGGAAAATACAATTAATAGAATAATTTCAAATTCCAGCTTGCGTTTCTTGTGTTCCCTCAGCACGAAAAGTTAAAACAATATTTATCCTTACACTGTCCTGTTGCCAAAGGTCTTGTCACTGGCATGCCACATAGAAAAAGAAGAGAGCTGACAAATGAGCATCTGGCCAAAACAGTGACAGTAAAAAGCTGTTATGCTGCTTGTTAACCTTCACAGGGAACAATCATTATAATATCAGAGAAAAAAAATACACTGCCTCATGTATGTTATATTAGATTCACAAATGGTAATTATTCAGTATAACATATACATCATATAACTTATAGAATATTGCCTCATGTATGTTATATTACATTCACAAATGATAATTATTCAGTATAACATATACATCATATAACTTATAGAATATTTCATGTATGTTATATTACATTCACAAATGATAATTATTCAGTATAACATATACATCATATAACTTATAGAATATTGCCTCATGTATGTTATATTACATTCACAAATGATAATTATTCAGTATAACATATACATCATATAACTTATAGAATATTGCCTCATGTATGTTATATTACATTCATCATAAATGATAATTATTCAGTATAACATATAATTATCATATAATAACTTATAGAATATTGCCTCATGTATGTTATATTACATTCACAAATGATAATTATTCAGTATAACATATACATCATATAACTTATAGAATATTGCCTCATGTATGTTATATTACATTCACAAATGATAATTATTCAGTATAACATATACATCATATAACTTATAGAATATTGCCTCATGTATGTTATATTACATTCACAAATGATAATTATTCAGTATAACATATACATCATATAACTTATAGAATATTGCCTCATGTATGTTATATTACATTCACAAATGATAATTATTCAGTATAACATATACATCATATAACTTATAGAATATTGCCTCATGTATGTTATATTACATTCACAAATGATAATTATTCAGTATAACATATACATCATATAACTTATAGAATATTGCCTCATGTATGTTATATTACATTCACAAATGATAATTATTCAGTATAACATATACATCATATAACTTATAGAATATTGCCTCATGTATGTTATATTACATTCACAAATGATAATTATAACTTATAGTATAATGTTATATACATCATATAACTTATTAGAATATTACCTCATGTATGTTATATTACATTACAAATGACAAAATTATTCAGTATAACATATACATCATATAACTTATAGAATATTGCCTCATGTATGTTATATTACATTCACAAATGATAATTATTCAGTATAACATATACATCATATAACTTATAGAATATTGCCTCATGTATGTTATATTACATTCACAAATGATAATTATTCAGTATAACATATACATCATATAACTTATAGAATATTGCCTCATGTATGTTATATTACATTCACAAATGATAATTATTCAGTATAACATATACATCATATAACTTATAGAATATTGCCTCATGTATGTTATATTACATTCACAAATGATAATTATTCAGTATAACATATACATCATATAACTTATAGAATATTGCCTCATGTATGTTATATTACATTCACAAATGGTAATTATTCAGTATAACATATACATCATATAACTTATAGAATAAGTAAGTTTTACCTAGAGCAATGCCTCCATGAGGTGGACATCCACTGTCAAGAGCAGTCAGTAGGTGTTGTAATTGGCTGCTATCTTCCTGTTTAAAACAAATATATTTAACAATGTCAAATATCATTACACTTGGTTGGGAAAACAAAGTTTTCATTTAACATGTCAATACACACAGCAAAAGATATGATAGCTACCATATGGGTAATTCAGTTCGCTCGTTGTTTGCGATGACTGAAATGGATTAAAGTACTTGCTTTCGTCCAGTCCTCCAACTGAGCTGTCACTAGTGACCTCTTATTCGCTCAGTCTCGTTAGTACGCACATACACCATCACGCCAACAACAATGCGCTCTCTCCCATCTTCCTCCCAGACTCACTATTTATGCCTGTGTCGGGGGCAACTAAAATTTACATATAAAACTTACTTCTCGTTCGCCCGAGACTTCTGGTTTTATAAATTCAAGCTGGTTTGAATTCTTAGTCTTTTTTATTTTTAATTTTTTCCCCTGTACGTCCACCCGCAATCTTTCAACAGGACCTGACATGCCAAGCAAATTTGTTTTGCAGGAGGTAAGTCTTCTCGTTCCTCACATACAAGTCTGAAGAAAATTCAAATAGATGTTTTTAAATAAGGCTTGTCAGGAAATGATAAAATATTCTAAAGATATTTTCATCAAGACTGTTTACAAATCAAACCTCAAGTTTCTATTCTCTCTCTCTCTCTCTCTCTTTGCTTTCTGTTCCCTGAATTTGTTGGCAACCTGACAGATATCTCTTTTTTAATGACACTTCTTTTTATCTTAATCCTTTAAAAAACCCATGAAGTGTCAATGTGCTACAGTTCTGTTCAACTTTATGTTCATAAATATTGCTCTCTATAAAAGCCAAAGTCCATTGCTTCTTAACACACAAAATCTGTCATTTCACAGGTCAAATGGGTCAGTTTTTCTCACCCACAAAGGAAGAAACACCGCCATTACGGTGAGTCGGACTTATGGGAATCGCGATCTTGTAGCTGCAAGGATTGGCGAGAGGTGAACTTGGCCGTATGCAAATTGGTTGGTGTTCGCTGGCATAAATGTGACGGCGGGAGACCACTCAGGAGATTGTGTGTAGCGAACTACGAGGCGGTGTTTGAATAATTGAGTGGAAAGATCAGTGGAGTTTTGTAGCTAAATTGTTTTGAGCAACCTGTCTTGAAGCTGAGGAGTTTTGTTTCTTCCGGAAGTAGGTGGTGCCAGGCCAACCCGTTCCCTTCCTATTGTTTGGTCCTAATTTTACTTACAGTTTCCCCTGGAGATTCTTGCACAACTCAATATATTTAAAAAATTGTTAAGAATGACTACTATCACTTTCATCACAGCTACCCAGCATATTTGGTTGCTACAATACAAATGAAGTGTTTGCATGGTCCTTGAAGAATCCAATCTCTTCATTGCACTAAGAGAGAATGGTTGTAGGATATTCAAAGACCTTTCTGACACTGAACATGGGGATGGGCTTATTTTTGGCTCTCTTTACGCATAAATATATGAGGCCCTGATATTAAACTTTGCCTTGTGTATTATTTACCCTTGTCAGGAGGAAAATAATCAATTTCTACTACATTTTAGTGTACATATTACAAGAAAAAGAGATCAATATGGCCTCTGAGTGAAATAAAGGGATTAATTTGAAACTCCCTGAAGGATAGCGATGAAAACAACAAAGATAAGGATATATGTGAAATAAAAATTACTCAATTACAACACCGCATCTTGTAAATTCATTCAAAAAGAAAGATGGATGACATAGTTATTTTCTAAGCTTAGCTTAGTCTGGTACAAGGCTATAGTAGTGAGATACCAGCGTAACTGAACTCAGGGTTGGTGAATTGAACTGTCAGGTTGTCAACACTTAGATTTCCTTGTATAGCAATGCCTGGGAAGTGTATAACTATATAATATTAACATAAAAATCATTTGATCCTTTTTGGATCTTTCTCATTTATACTAGAGACATTTTCATCTTTTGAAAGAGTCTATAAAGGCTGCTTTTAGGCTCACCATCAGCTGCCTCATCACATTTTCCTTAATCTTGTCTATAGTATTTAAATATTGATTTCAGCTTTGGAAAAAGACAGAAGTCACAGGGAGTTGTATTTCTAAAATAGTTCTTAGGTATGACATTGCAAAGAAAAATATATTTCACTAATATTATTATAATAAATGGACTGGCTAAGATGGAGTGAGGCTAAAAAAAATTATTGACAACTTTATGAACAAGACAAGACATTGTGGATGATGGTGAGTGTTACACCCAGAACAGGGACTTATTTTTGTAAGTAAGTAAAAAAAAACTGTTCATCCAATAAAATATACATTAACTAGAAAGTGAAACAAACTATTAAAGAGACAAATAGGTGGAAATTGTGATATCATATAAGAGAGAATAAACATTAATCATAAAGAATTTTATGCTTAAATATGATCCAGTTTTTGTATTTCTTGTAAAGAAAGTAAAATATTTAAACTATTACTGTATTTGATGTAATAAAAGACCCATTTGTCACTCCCAATTAGAATGCCATAAATCTGTAATAAATGCATGAAAAGATGATAGATTAGCTAGGTATAAGATAGATAGTGAAGATCAGGCTCAACCTCTTTAACCCTTTTCGGCCTTGTACCATAATTGTATTTTTAATACAATAAATATCAATAAATGAATGAAAAGAAACTTGTTTTGAATTGGATAAGAAAGGGAACATGGATGATGTTTCAGTCAATATACCAGACATCCTGGTTTTTTCTTCATTCTGGTTGAAATGGGGACAGATGTCATGTATATTATCAAATATGGTAGATTGAATTTTTCTGTCTAAATTTTCAAACTTTTTGCATAATTAAAAAGTTAAATTAGAGCCAACATTTTTATTAAAAAATGAAGTTATCCAAGATCTGAAAACTTTAAATGATGTTTGAATCAAATATCTTGTATAGACATTTCTAAAAAATTCTTGCCTTGAGAATCTTCTCCAAGACAAATTTCTGTTCTTCAGCAGAGTGAATACGGATTGAACCACCTCCAATTTCATTTCCATTTAAAACCAAATCATAATGCTGACCCTTGACCTGTAAATGTAGAAAACAACATTAATCAATAAAACAGATTAGATTTTTTTCATTTATTTGTATTTTTTTTATTATTATTTCTGATGAGTCTGCATCTTTATTCAGGACTCTTTTTTTTTCAGTTTTATTTCTTTTAGATTCTTTTTATTTTCAAAATATTAAAATATATTAGTTTAAGGAAATATTTTAGCAAATATCCTTTTTGTCTAAAAACAAATAAACAAAAATCATACCCACCAAAAGAGATATCCACCAACATCTTTGAAAAAATAATTTTTAAAACCTTAAAACTTAATATAAAATATTGTTTAATCTCGTATGAAAAGACAATATTAGAAATAAACAGCATCAAACATTTTGCATTCTTTGGCAAAATATAAGACATTTCATTTAAGTAAATAAAACATATTTATTCCACTAAGAGCATTAATTAAATTATATCTTATATATATATGATAAACATTTTAAGTTAAAATGTATTTAGCTTAAAAATTTATTTAACTTAAAGCAATTTAAAAAAAAATAAAAGCTATTCTCTTAACTCATGTAATAAATAGCAAACTAATTAAAATGATATTGATCTTCAAAATTTCAGCTAAAAAATTGATCTTCAAAATTTCAGCTAAAAAATGTCTTTGAATATTGAATGATCACAAACTATGAATAAAAGTTGCCAACATTTTCCTCAAGTTTTATTTTCTTCAGCTAATCTGAAAGTTTCTCTCCTCAAGTAAAAGAAAAAAAATTAATTTATAATTTTTATCTTTCATTTGTTGTCTTTTTCCCATTTTTAAAACGATAAACATTCAATCCTTTTCAGACAGTGAATGAAAGTTGTCTCCCTTCTACGATTACATCTGTTTTGATTCGAAATTACAATACATCATAAAAATAGCTAAACAAAAAAAAAAATAAAAAAAATAAACAGATTCTAAGACATATTTAAGCATTTGTTTGAGGATATTAAAAATCTTCACTCAATTTGAGCAAAAGGCTTTGCACATAACTTCTCTTATAATTCATAGTAAATGTTCAGATGAGCTCTTCGCTATGATACTTTGACTTTATGAATTTAAGTACAGTACTAGACTAGCTGGCTAAATGCAGTTTAAGTTCTATGTTAAAAGTTACTTTTCTTGCACTTTCTGCTTGTGGAATTCCTTTCCAGATCTATGCTTTCCAGCCAACTTTAATCGGCAAAGATTTAAATGCAATGTCAATCACTACTGTCCTCGTGATTACTCTTTTCTCTTTCTGCTCATTATTAATGTTTCTCTTCCTAATTCTTCTACACCTTGTAATCTCTTGTGTTTTAGTGGCATTACTGCCTTGCTTAAGGAGGACACTGATTAAAAAAAAATTCTACTCTTGACTCATCTGGGGTATCTTTGCCTGACTTTCTAATTAGAACTTAGTGGCTTTATTACCTTGCTTGGAGTGAAATGATTGAAAAAAAATGTACCATTTGGGGATTTTAACAGAGAAGTAAATTTAATGTTATTGACACTGATGATTAATCTATGCTTAATCTTATCAAAGTTTATAATTGAAATTTATGTATCTATGTATATATGCAGTTCAAGCAAACTGATAAAAAGCAGGAAGCCTTTCATTACTAGTGAAATGAAAAAAAAATGGGTTTTATAATTTATGTCACTAAAAGAAAAATCATATCTTTTTCTTGGAGTATAAAGTATCTCTGTAAATTCACATGTTAATTCTAAAGGCATATGAAAAATATATTCTGCATTAATGCTTTGATCACACATTTAATGCAAAATATTTGGTGTGTGTGTGTGGGGGGGTATTTTGTAGCTGTATTACTTCATTACTTCATATTCATTATTGATCTCAGAAATTAATTTGTGAATTGAGGTAAAAAGTCAGGAGTTCAAATGCAGATTTTCAAGGTAGAAATGCAAACCTGCCAATTTTTATCTGCATTGAGCTGAACACAATATTTCTTTATCGTTTCAAACCAAATTCTTTATTTTCAGTTTTTACAAAATATGTGAAATTATTTGCAATTTCATAGGAAAAAAGAAAGAAAAATTATACAATTTTCAAAAAATAAGTAGACCAATGTGGAGATGAGAGGGGCCTTCTGTCAGGGTGCATTGTACTATGCTTATAGTTGTGATAGGTGGAACGAATGATGAAGCGGATACAGGGAAAAGAACAATGATAAATACCAAGAAACTGGTGTAGAGGGAAGAAATGCCCAATCTGAAATTTCGTCCCAAAACAGAGTTGCTAATTTCTTTTGAACACACTACTTTTCATCAAATAGTCGTTCAAAAGAAAGAAAAAATGGTGGCAAATATATTCATCAGACTCAACCATTAGATTTCACAGCAACATAGACAATTTCTTATATTATACTCAGCATTGTTCTTTGTTAATCAAAGACATCCACACCAGCTTGGTTTATACATTTATTCATTATGCTAATATAAGCTGTTTCTCTCAAGTTTCTTATCTTATGATTCCACTTACTTGGGCCTTATTCACCTTCTTTTCATTTGGAGTGTACATCTGCAGAAGGTGGGTATACACTCCAAATGAATTATGGTAACAGCAGAAAAAAAACAAAACAAATGAAACAAAAGGGGGTTCAAACAAATCTGGATAAGTTTATGTTATGTCAGTCAGTTACGGGCCATACATGATACATGCTTCAGTGATGATGTACCTTTCAATACATGACTGATGGGGAAGTTTTTTTCGCGCAGTAGGTTGCCATTTCTTTCTGTGGTAGACCATTTGCCATCCAAGGCTATAGAACCCGGTCTGTCCTGCTATTTGCCTATAGCTTGGGGAGAAGAGGAGGATTCATACCTTCCCCAAGGTTATTAGCATGTAAGAGAATTTAATGGATTTGACTGGGATTCAAACTTGGCTCTCCAATTCCTCAATCTGAGTTGCTACCCATTACTCTACCGTGTCTCCCTTATGTTATGTAACATATAAGTAATTTTTTAAGACCACATCAGTTTTTAAATTTAAAAAAAAAGATATAAATATTCTTGAAACTGACCTCTTGTGGTTGAGTATACAATAATTCAGCATCTTCAGATACTGGTGCTGTGAAGGGATGATGTGCTGCTTCAAGACCCTCTGCAGGATAAAGAAAAATTATTATAAGAGTAGACCAATAATTTAACTTGACTGTAATGTTCCTAATTAGAAATTAAAATTAAAGCAATAATTTAGCACATATATATAAATAGGGTTAAAGTGTATGCTCTGTAGTCATTAGTTAAATGCTCTGGACACTTATCTACTACTTGGAAATGACAATAATATTTTAATATTGACTAATAATACTAGTTGACTTAGCTGGTACTTACAGGATCAACATACACATCATTGTTTACAGGATAAAAAATTTACTTCTTGATTAAATGGAAATTATTGATATTACAGGCCCAAGACTAAATCCTAAAATAATACTAATTTCTTAAATAATCTGTGAGAGGTATAAACTTTTATTAAGGCTTTAGAAACAGACATTTTAAAAGTATACACAAATATATATATATATATATATATATATAACCAAGTAGAGGAAGAACAAAGATAAGAAAAATAATTACTAAAAATATAACAACAAAAAAGAAATAACAAAAAAAGCATCTAACACATTTATATATTTATCATATATATTAAATTTTTGTCCTTGATTGGCTTTGAAGAGTGAGGAGCAATATACGGTCAGCCCTTTTTGTTATATGTTTGCAATCCTCCACTTTGCAGTAAGTAATTTTTTTGTATCCTTGTTCTTTTTCCTCTTTGTTTTTTTTATATATATTTTTGTATATATTTATATATACATTAAAATGTTTATTTTTAGAGTCCCTATTAAGACTAATTCCTATATTTCTCCATCAATTAAAAAAAAAATTGTCAAGTTTAATACTGCAGGGCCACAAAAATTTGGCTGAATTTAGGATACCTTCTTAAAATTGTATCATTTTTATTACTTTTGAAATATTTTAGTGAAAAATGTTTGGCCCTGTACACCTGCCAAAATTTTACTGAACTTGTTGTATCCCAATGTAACAAAAAAAAAGAATTCTTTACCCTGTTTTTTTTTTTTTTTTTTTAATTTAAACCACTTGAGATAAAAATGGTATTTTTTTTTTTTAATTTTCTAATTTATTTTCAAGATTAGTTAAACCTATTCAACACTTGTAAATTTTATGTGATTTTTTTTTAAACATGATTAGAAATGCTAATTTTTAAACAAAAATTAATTATGGAAAACATAATTTGTTAAATTTTAATTAAAAATTAACAGATTATGCTTGCTATAATTATAATAATTCTGAGAAACGATAAGATGAAAACTTTACTTACTACCATCCTCACTGGGTAAAAAAAGTGGGAAATTTAGTATCCAGAGAAAATTAAATTCGTTTGGATCTCTGAGATTCACCCCTAAATAAATAAAATAGAATTGATACAAATAAATAAATAAAATATATTTTTAAAAAATATAAAAAATTTATTCAATATAAATAATAATTATTCCAATTACATATGTGGTTATATAAATTGATATACCTTCTGCTGTAAAAACAAGCAAGACATGAGAAGATGATCCCCCTGAGGTCGGACATGGTTTTCAGGTTTTAAAACATCATTACCACTACCCTAAAGCATTCTACCGACCTTTCTCAACAACAAACTTTCTTGGAACTCAGTCACAATGTGAAATGGTTCAATCATGCAGCTGATATTAATTTTTTACAGGTAGGTAGATATTTACTCCCTAGCTATGGGTTAAATAACAGGGTAGACTGAGCTTTCTAGTCTTGGGTAGCAATTTGTCAAAGAGTAGGAAAACTCTGAATTCATGGCAAAGGAAACAGGAAAACCACTCTACTCTTTTTCATAAGAATGTATAGCAATTCACAGATAAAAGATTTTGTGAAGAGTAGTGTTCACCTATGTCTTGACAAGACATAGTATTTTTAGTTTGATATTTATTAAGTTCATCACAAATGTGGGTAAGATTGTGTTATGTCAATCCCCCAAATGCAGAATGTCAGCCTGCCTTGAAAAAAAAAAAACAAACAAAATTTGAAATCTTGACTTTTTCTCAGCTTGGATACTTGCAACAAGAGAAAATATATTTATCTCATTCATTAAAGAACTCTGTTTTATGTTTCATACAATATTCTTTTTTCTGGTAATAAAGATAGAATTTGTAGAACAAGTTAGACTTATGCAGAAATTTAGTAATGCAATCAAGGAAATGAATCCTCGCTTTGAGAAGACAGACCACATCAATAAAGGAGTTTTGCCTTTAAAACCATTGTAATAAATCTTTGATGAAACATATTTAAAAAGAAAATTAGACAAACTTGGAACCTCATGCCCATAATAAAACTGAGTATCAAAAGTACGGATTTTTGCATGACACTGCTATTATTTTAATTGAGTTCATTCCTTGGCAATGTTTATTGTTTTAAAAAGTGATGATTAGAATTGTAATAAAACCTAAACACATGAGGAAAGTGAATTTATACATTTTCTTTTTTTTCTTGAGAATTGACAACAAAATATTAAACACTATTTATTTATTAGATTGTTTATTTACACTATTTATTGCATTGTTTATTGGAATGGATGGCAAAACACTGGCTAATTGCCAATTGATTCAAACTTTATAAAATGATAAATAATAAGGATTTTCTTACAGCTGGCACACATATTTTAATAATTTAGTAAATGTTTATAAATAAAAAATTGTTTTCATATTTATTCCATTATAAGCTGGTAAATGATAAATATTGCATTGCATTAATTTTTTGAATGTTGTAAATATAAAATTATTTTTGTAAATAGACAATCTAATAAATAGTGTTTAATATTTTTGTTGTAAATTCTCAAGGACAAAAAAAAATGTATAAATGCGCCATCATCATATATTTAAGTTTTATTAAACTTCTAATATAGACAGATTCTAATCATTGCTTTTTAAAACTATAAACATTGCTGAGGAGTGAAGGTAAAATCAAAGCAGTGACAAGGGAAAGAATATCCCTTTGACAGTTGGTTTTATTTAAAGCACAAAGGTCCAAGTTTGCTGAAAATTATATGTGCCTATGATTAGATATATGAATGTTTGCTTTAAAAAAAAGCAAAAGAAATATTCTTTAACAAGTAACAAATAATTTTTATACTCAAGATTCTAATGAAAGACTAAAATCCTTTTGTTCTCAATACATAATTTATAAAAGCCTTTTATGGTAATTGAATGAATGTTTTAGATCCTTCATTATATTCAGCAATAATTACCAAATTGGTCTAGCTGGCCATTACTACAATAGTGATTTTCTTCTACATTAAATGTCTCATATTTAATGGCCTTCTGCCAGATAAAGTTAAGTTTAGTAAATAGCTGTATGAAGTGCCTTCATATAAAAGAATGATAGGCAAGCTAATGGAGCCAGCCATTACTACAGTAATTAGTGTGATCATCACTAAGCGCTACACGTTTATGGCTTTGTGACTAAGTTTAATACCATTTCAATATAAATCTTCATGTGATGAACAAATGTCTTTATAATTTTGATAAATGATGCTATGAGATATTAGTGTTGGCTTACCCTTAGATTCCAATATGTTAGCACATAGCAGACGTAGTTTTCCAAGAAGTACATGCTGAAAATATAATCAGTATTGATTTTAAGAGTTCAATAGCTGAAACAATAGGAAATCATGATTATTAACAATATATTGACTATTTAAAAATAAATCAATAAGTTTCTCTGCATATCTCATGAGACAATAAAAGTTGAGTTTTTTTTCTATTATTCAAACTCTAGTCATTAAGAACTCAGGCAAACTGTCTGATCATCCTATTAGCCAATTTGGCTTTCATTTCTCTAGGTCAACTGTTGATGTATTAATGATTATTGCTGAAAGAGTCTATCAAGCTGATAATAATGGTGAGGGTTGGGTATCTTAAAAGGTGTTTGGGAGTGGTGAAGCTTTAGATGACAGGGTTTGGCATGCTGGTTTTCTTAACAAGTTGGAAGGTTATGGTATTTCTGAAAATTTTTTGATCTGATTCAGTCTTTCTTATCAAATTGTGTAATGAAAGTTGTCTTGAATGTCCACTCTTCTAGATCTTTTTGCATTAATGCATCTGTCCCTCAGGATGCTATCCTTGGATTTATATTGTTCCTAATTTTTATTAATGACCTTCAGGAGAATGACTGATTGCACCTTCTCAGACTTACATTTTCTGCTGACATGGAAAGATTATATTGAATCAATTGCTAGGTCTGTTGCTCAGAAAGTTGGTTCACTGTGTCATCCTAGACAAGTTTTCTCTCCAGAATCTATCTTACATATTTATAAGTCTACTATTTGTCCATGAATTGAATATTTCTGCTACATCTAGTTTGGTGCTTTTATATATTTAGAAATTCTTGATAAGATCCAAACAGGAATTTGTAATGTCATTGGTTCTGACCTGACGACTTGGCTTCAGTTACTTTCCCACTACTGCAACATAGAATTCTTGTGCTGTTTCTATAAATATTTTATGGTAATTGTTTTGATCTTTCCCCTTTGGTACCTACTAGGTCTCATCATTTTACAGGTGACATGGCTGCTAAATGTAACTAAGTTCTAACAGTTTCTTCTCTCACTCTTCTTGCTAGTGAAACTCTCTTCTAGCTTTCCAATAAACTTTGATTTTTTAAAATGTAAATGCAATATCAATCATTATCTTCTGTCTTCCTCATTCCTGTTCTTTTATTGTTCTCTCTCTCCTTTATAATGTTTTTCTTTTCCTCATATTTTTTCACCCTGTGTGTCTTTGTGGCTTTATTGCCTTGCTTGAGGTGAAATGATTAAAAACAACAAAAAAATCAAGAATCTGATATCTTTTTAAAAAAATCTTGAACTATATTTATTTTAACAAAGAAACTACTAAGAAAGAATATGCAATATGGTTATGTAAATACTCGAGAAAGTCAAGGTAAAAAGTTATTCTGAATTTAAATAAATACAAGTTGCTTAGTACTTTAACTAAGTTAAAACTTATATATGTGTATGTGTGCAAGTATGCTAATGTTGGATGGTTGATGACTAATCCAGCACCTCCACTCCAATTTCTTATGAGTGAGACAGGTTGTTAGCAACCCTGTAGGATGAAAAATAAGACCTATCAAATGACAGAAGAACTCTTGATGAGTCAATGTCCACCTAACTAGAAGTGGTGTCTCAATAAAATCATTGTTAAGAATGCAACAGGAAACCACTCCACTATCATTCCCTTGAAACTTAAGACTCACAATAACATTGTAATAAAAGATAACTGCATGAAGGGGGTTAAGTTTATTGGAATTAACTCTTTGCCTGGTAAGGAAGAATATATGCAACAGGGGTCACCTGTCATCCAGTGGCTGTTAGCAAAAAATACGATCTAAAGGGAGTCAAACTCCTTGGAATTGATCCCTTACCTGGTAAGAAAAGACATGAGTGACAGGTGTAAGCTGACCATTATCCAGTGACTGTTTGCATCGAACAAAAAATAATTCTAAGGACATGGAATGTCAGAACACTAAATCAATGTGAGCAGTTTGATAATATGACTCAAGAAATGAATAAGTTAAAGATTAATATTTTAGGTATATACAAAACGAGGTGGGAAAACAACAGAGAATTCCTCTGTGATAAACACGGGATCATATATGCAGGCAAAGAGAAAATGAGAAGGGAGTATTACTGATATTATGATACCAAGACATGAAAAAATGTGTTTGGGGATACTGTAAAATATCTGAAAGAATTCTTGTCGTTAAACTGAAAGAAAAGTCTTTCAGCATATCCATCATAATTGTATATAGACATTGACAGCACAATGTACAGAAGAAGAAATTGAGAAATTTTACTGTGTGCTAGATAACACCAAGCCTCAATGCAAATTGCAAGAAATTGTCATGGAAGATCTGAATACCAAAGTAGGCAAGGGCAGAGATGGTGAAATAGTTGGCAAATTTCAAAAGTAGGAACTCATAATAAATGCAGAGAAAAATGGGGCTAATGGTACATGGCTAATGATCAGGTAGTAGTCAATATATGCAGCAATACAACAGACTCCCGAATAACTCAAATGTGAAGGAAAAATATCTGAACAGTATTAAAGGCTGATACAATGAATAAAATGAGAATTGAAACTTGAAGTGGACACACTAAGAGAAGCTTTAGTAATTGAAATCATCCCAAAGAATAGAAAAAGAAAAAAAATACAATGGATGACTGATGAAATTCTTAACATGATGAAAAAAAGAGAAAAAAAATATAACTGTGCCCAAAGAAATTAGGGACAAATGCAAGCAGGTTAAAGAGGATGCTGAGAATACCTTGGACTAAACCGAGCAATGACAAAGTTTTAGAGAAAATCAAAATAAAAGGGACATATACTTAATATCAAAAAGAGTGTTGAAATTTCTAAGGGACATAATGAGGAAAGAGGGCTTGGGAAATTTGATACTGACAGGACATACTGAAGACAAGAGGGGTCGAGGAAAATAGCACATAGCCTACCTAATGAGCTTATGTAAATGGATGGCAGAACAGGTTTTAAGAGAGCAAAAAAATTTACTAAGAGCTACAAGGGATAGGAAATCGTGGAGAGCCACGATCATCAACGACTTGAAAGGGCATAGCACATAGATTTACTTGTCTGTTTCTTGGTGACACAATAAATGTGAGAAAATAGCAATGGAGTGGATTTTTTTTTTTTTAAATTCTAAGTCCGTTGGTTGGTTTGGCGTTGGTGGCAGGGGCGTAATTCCAAAGGCTATAAATCAGAATTGCAAGTTCAACATCAGAAAATGGCAAGGGCATAAATCAAAAGGTGTCAGAAATCCTTTTTTCAACTTTCAACACACAACTACCTTCACCCACAAAGAGTCAAACATTACCCCACTGAAGTCCAAGTGGCATTCTTTTATTAGGGATAAGAAAGGTTGTGATTGGTCAAGACTAGTAGGGAAGCATAAACAATTACCATATTTTGAGGCCTACTAAAATCAACTTGACCTGGTTTTCTTTTTTAACTTATAGTACAAACACAAATTCTTTTCAGGGGTAAGATTTGCTTAAGACAGATACTAGTGCTCATTATTAAATGAAGAATCAACATTCAATAAGTAAGTTCATTAATATTCATCGTGAGAAAATATTTTTCACTATTGAATGCCAATGAAAATAAAGCTTACCAAAAAAAAAAAAAAAATAAAATAAAAATAAAAAAGCAAAAAAAGAAAAGGTTTCCTTACCGGTTCATATCCTGGACCCGAAACTAAAAGGATTAAGTCAAAAGGTTTAATATTCAACCGGCTGCAGAGATCTTCTTTCAGCTTAGGTTTAAGGTAATTAGAAATAGGAGATTGCCATTGGGCATTTTCACCAATTTTTATGACAGTCAAAGCCTGAAAATGAATAAAAATAAGGAATGAGACAATTATTTAAGAAAATGATGCCCTACAACATGTTCAGTCTCAGGCCTTCACCAACAAATTCAAGAGTTCTTTTCTTATCAGAAAAATCAGAGTGAATTTTCTGAGCTGCCGTACCTTTGTAATCACCATTAGACTCATCCAACTCTTTCCGAATCCTCTGCTCTGTCCTCAGATTGACACCCAAACATTCTATACAAATAATCCTGTATCATTTTTGTCCATCTGTTTATAATCACATAACTTAAGGATGGCAGAGGTCATGGCTACCAAATTTTATGTGGTTATGGAACTCTGGAGAATGTTTTTATCATATTAGGTTTTGAAATTTACAAAACATTTTTATTTTTTAGCAAGATGTTTGATATACAGGATAAGCATAAGGCTAAACTCAAACCTTACTTTATGTCTACTAGATTAGCGAAAACAAATCGTTATCTGTTTAACCTTTCGGTTCCCAACATGGGATACATACCCCATAGGGGGATATTCAAGAATGAGTTAATTACAGTGAATTTTTTTCTAGTGAGTCTGTGTGTGTGTGTGTGTGCAAGTTAATACATATGGTGCATACACAATATGCACACATAAAAATGTAAATATTTATGTATATATATATGTGTGTGTGTGTGTGTGTTGAAACGTAGAAATGTCTTACTGAATAAGAATAACCAAAACAAAATGTAATGGTTATCTTTATAACATTAACAATATACAAGATTTGCCAGTGGCATGTAGTAAGTAATCCACTGCTAGTGGTGAACTTAGTGGTGAATCCCCCCCAGACAGTATATTCCACTGTATTTATGAGATTTGGGGCATACCCATTATAGTCCTGAGGTATGGTATAAGAATATATAAGGCCCAAGTGCTACTGAAGGTAGAGGGTTACTGAATGGAGATGTTGTAAGGGTATATATGGAAGGAGCAGATGAGAGATCTGCTGCAATAAAAAGTGGGATGGATAAATTTTGAACATCTACCAGGACTCAAATTCACCCCAGGCAAGTGGAACATACATATACCGGGTGTAACAGCAAAACTGTCCAAATTGTGTAACAGCAAAATTTTCCAATTGTTAGATTAAGCTTTGAACTGTTGTATCTTAGAAATGATTAAAGATGTCTTACTGGAATTTCCCAAGATTTTTATAACACTATTCAACTATACTTTGAACAATAAGAATGTATAATTACTATCTAAGCTTAACAGAAAAATCCTGATGAAATTGATCATAAACAAAAATGACATGTTCATCATTAATTAATCATAGATAAGGATTGGAAGATCATGAAATATTGAAATAAAGTTCAAATATATATATATATATATATATATATTATTCCAGGATCATTTCCCAACTTATTCAAGATGATGTTCGCCCTCTCTAAACTTCTAACTTTCTGTCCTGGAGTAACAAGGTACCTCACAGGTTTCACATATGATTTCATTTTCAAGTCTTTTTTCACTGCTCTTTGAACTATCATAGCTGAAACTCCTTTCTCACGTGCCAAACGTTTTATGAATTGAGTTGGATCTTTTTTAATTGATCTCTTTAGCTCTTAGTGATTCCTCTTCCTGTTGTGACTTCCTGATCCAGTTTTCCTCTCTACTGTTCCTTCTTTTTTAAACATATTCACTATTCTCTTGATGATTCTTAAATGGACTTTGAAGAGGGAAGCCAGAATATGAATGTTGGTACCATTATTGAAGGCCTAAATGATCTTTTTCCTCTCACCAGTGCTCAGTTAGGAAGACATAGTGGGTCTGACATAAAACAATTTTAACCTGCTCTATTTTTAGCTGAATAACTCAAAGAGTTTTGATTCTATTGACAAATGGTGTCAAGATGGCTAAACATCTTATCTGAAAACTTGGAAAAAAGAAACTCAGTTAGTTTAGTGGTTTTTAGAATTGTGATGAAATATATATATATATATATATATATATATTTCATCACAATTCTTCTGTTAAGCTTGGAGAGTAATTATACATTCTCATTACTCAAATTAGAGTCCAGTAGTGTTATAGAAACCTTGGAGAATTCCAGTAAGAAATCTTTAATGATTTCTAAGATACAACGGTTCAGCGCCTAAATGATCTTTTTCCTCTCACCAGTGCTCAGTTAGGAAGACATAGTGGGTCTGACATAAAACAATTTTAACCTGTTCTCTTTCTAGTTGAATAACTCAAAGGGTTTTTCAGTGATTCTTACAACAAATGGTGTCAAGATGGCTAAATGTCTTATCTGAAAACCTGGAAAAAAGAAACTGAATTACACCCTTGTGCAAATTAATTGAAACAAAAAGAATAATTCTGTTATTATTTACTTTTTTCATATTTTTCCAATGAAACATGACTCAGTGCACATGTTAGTACTTCATATGTCTATTCAAAGAAGTTGTTCCTGGCAGATTGACCACAGATTCTTGATTGGATTTAAATCAGGAGAGTTTCCAGGCCAGTCTATTGTACTTTGATTTGCTCACTGGTTAGGCTTGCAAGTGTATTTGTGAAGCGTTATAATTTTTGTATGCTTCCTTGGAGTAATGTCCATTTCAGACAATGGCTGTAGAACAACTAATCGACAGTTGAGACGATAGTGTCTGGGCGTAATAAAAATCTGATGCAATATCACGGATGACGCAATATTTTTCAATGACAAACAAATTTTATCATAGACCCTGAAAATAGATTTATATTACTGCACACCACTGCAAATGAACTAATGTGAGGAAAAAATAGAAAATGATTACAGCCTGTAACTCCAGTGCATTTAAAACTGACCATATGGTGAAAAAAGGAAACTAAAGCGGTTGTTTAATATCTTAAAAAAAAAAAAAAAAAAAAACAACTAAAAATACACCCTTGTGCAAATTAGCACAAGGGTGTATTTTAGTGTTTTTTTTTGTTTTTTTTAGATATTAAACCTTTTGTGGGATAGACAATTATGCTGTTATATGATTTGGACAATTTTGCTGTTACACACATCTATGACCCATCGCTAAAGAAGCAGGTAAAATAGTTGGTTTCTTATTCTGTTCCAGTAAGTACTTAACTCCTCCCACCATACTCTATCTTTAGAAAAGTTAAATTAGAACGAAAAGGGAGTACTGCTGCCGTAACTGGGCTGGATGTCCTAAATTTTCACATTCCAGCTTTGATAGAGTTCAAAAATATCTACGAGGCCTTTTTCTATTCTACAACGTCTTTCCTACAATGAAACTCTATTCTTATTTCTATGGCAAAATGATGAGTGGCATTCATTACTTTCACAAGTTCAGACCTTCACAGCTAAGATCAGCCATGGACATATGCTGGGACATTTTTTTCCCATTCCCTTAGTATTCCATTTGTAAGAAGGAAGTTTCATTTGAGCAGTTTATTCCTTAGAACTGCTACTCTGTGGAAAAAACTCCTGAGAGGATGCTTCCCTGATCACTACAATCTCTTTAAATCTTTTATATTTCCTACATATCCTCATAATCTGTATTTCTTATCTCCTCCTCCTATATTCACACAATATAATTCAGTGTCCCTCTACTTTGAGTGGCTCTCGAATTTTTCTAATGGGTGAAAAATTAGTAAAAGAAAAAAAAAAAATGAGGGTACTTGAAATTCCCTTCTAGATATTTAAATTAAATGTGATCCAAGAATTCACAATGATTTTCAAATAAATACATAGGTCCCTGAAGATAGTTGTTAATGACTAGTCCTCCAAGGGCCTAGCAATCAACACAGTCATTCCACAAGGGTCACTTCTTGAACCAACCTTCTTTCTACTTTACATAAATGATCTGCCCAAGAGTATACTCCGATCATTTGTGAATATCTATGCTGATGATACACCAGTATATGGGTGCACCTCCAAAAATGTAGATGACCAAAGATTGACAGCTGATCTCTCTTCTGACCTAGCAGTATGTGCTTTGATTGGCCTGATCCACTGCTGATGTCCTAACTACCATTACTCACAGAATCAATCAGGCACTAGACATTGAATTGTTGAGATGTTGTGAGTTTCCCGCGTGTCGGTGTATGAATCAAGACAAACACAGTTGTAGAGGAAAATACTGGTATATTCATAAAAGCAATTAACAATAGAGTGATTAGTAGAACGAAGGTTGGTTAGTACGAAACAATATCCAAAGTCTATAGTCCAACGGTATGTACCGGGTAAGCTTATCTGGACTGCTCACGCTGACACTCTCTCTGACGCTCCCCTCACTCTCTCCAGAGCTGACTTATATAAGAGGGACCAGTCCATTACTAGTTAGAAGGTGGGTGCGCCCCAACAGAATGCACCTCAAGAATTATAGCATTAGATATTTCAAAGGTCTTTGACAAGGTGTGGCATAAAGGATTGCTATACAAGCTCTCTAGCTATCAAATCACAGGAAAAGGCTTTTCAATTATAAAGTCTTTCTTAATAAGTAGGTCCCTAATGTAATTGTTAATGGCCAATCTTTTGGGGATCTAGCAGTCAATACAAGTGTCCCCCTGGGCTTGTTTGTTGGACCAACCCTCTTTTTACTTTACATAAATGATCTGCCTAGACATATACTCTGAATCATTTGTGAATATCTATGCTGATGATACGACAGTATATAGGTGCACCTCTAGATGATCAGAGATCTCTCCTCTGATCAAGCTCTAACATCTCATTGGGGAAAAGCTGGTTGTTTACATTCAATGCCTCAAAAACCAAACTAGTTACATTCAATCATTGCCAATTAAACCCTGAACTATCACCAATCATAATGAATGAATGTTCCCTCATGGAGACCCTGTGCTTTGAGCACCTATTGGGGGAAACTCAACCCAGATCTCAAGTGGAACTAAAGATGATGGAAAAATGATTGGTTCCCTGTAATGCTCCAGAAAGTACCTAATTCCTCCTCCTATTCTCTACTTTTACAAGAGTCAGACCAGGCCCAAAATGGAGTACTGCTGCCATATATGAGCAAAAGCTG